ATAAAACATTTGTTGAGGACTGAAAGAAAGTCCCTCAGGCAGAATCAGATTCACAAGAAAATGATTGTAGAGTTTGATTTTGTTTGACCTGCTAACAGTTGGTTTGAAAAGACTAAATTATATGCAGGGAACACAGCGGCTGTCAAATTTTACAAGCATTTTTGTAGACATATCGTGCCACAGTTTCAGAATAATGACTTCCTGGAGGCAATGATAGTAAGCACAGATTTTTACAACAGTTATTATTCTAATATCAACTGCTTTTATTATTATTTATTAGTGTCTTTTCTTTTTTCTAAAGAAGACTGTGCCTCATTTTCCAATAGACTGACTGAGAAAGAGGATGCAACAACGGGTTGTTTGAGTAATATGTCCTTTTGGTCAAGTGGGATTATCTGAGTACAGTCGTGTTTATAAGACGTATGACATATTTGTGTTTGGGTGCAGGGAAAATGAGAATTCCCTCTTATTATCTGACTGTTGCAAGAGAAAGACAGATATTCAATAATCAAGCGTGACTGTGAAGGATAAGTTGGTTAACATTTGGTTCAGATAAGCAGCAGAGTGGGTGGATGACAGAACATGTTGCTGATGAAAGGGTTTCAATCTGATTCAGCATGAAAACACTCCATCTGTCTATTCTGTGTTTGTCCCCTCTCTCCATGTCTCAGTAATGATACTACATGCACTTAAATTCATATTATCAGTATTTTGTCCATGTAGTAAACAGCAAATTCACATCAGGGTCGGCAGCCTGTGTCAGCCGGGTTGACTCCAGCCCCCCCCACAACCCTCAAGAGGATAAACTGTATAGATAATGGATGGATGGATAGAGTTGCAGGACAGAAAACCAAACTAAAAGAAACTGAAAGTCTTTGAATAGCTGAAGGACACAGTCTAAGGTGGATCTATCAGCATGACACATTTTTTATTACACACTTCTAAAGATAATATAAATACAAAAAACAAATGCAGCTTTAGAAAAATAAAAAGTAATGAAAAAAGTATATTTCTAAGCCATTGGGTTAAAAGAGTCCCAAAGCCATTCGTCAGTGTACTGTGCAGCCAAGCTCAATGCTCATCTTATCAGTCATTCAGCAAATGTATTGTCTGCATTATTAAATTCAGCCACTGATAAAACAAACACCCCGGCCTCAGATCGAGCATGAAAACTGTGGAGACTCCACCACAATTTGTCACATCCATTCAGCTTTCCTCAGTCCATCCATCATGATTTGCATGAAAATAGTGAAATGTAAGACCCAGCCAGGGAAATGATGACAGAATATACACCAGTGAGATTCCTTCAAATTTCTTACCATTGTTTTCAGCACAAATTATCATTTATCTCTTCCTCCTTATCCTGTTGTCAGATATGGAGCTGGCAGCCACAGTTAACATTATAACAGTGCAGTGGCTGCAGGAAGACGGATGGGTGGAGTGACTAAGATGGACAGAAGATGGACACACAGATAGATACAAGCAGAAGGGCAAATGTTAGACAAGTGTTAGACGTGGGCAGGACAGGTCAAGTGTTGGACACGGTCCTACATTACTGAGCTGTAGTTTTATTTTTTGCACATTATAGGTCTGGGTGGCATTATGTCTAGTGTGTGTATGTGTGTGCACTCAAGGTGTTCCAAGCTACTGTTGCCTTTGTTTTGGAGGGTAGTTTGGCTGGAGTTGTGTATGTATACTATTCATCATGTCCTTGGCTGCTTGGCGTGAACACACATTCACCTTCTGAGATAACAGAGGACGAGAGAAGAAACAAGCTGTCTACATGCCCAGAAGAATGTGTGTGTTTGCGCCTGTGTGTGTGATTTTGTGTATGCTGTATATTTCTGAGTGCTTTTTATTGCTTGACTTAGATGAATATTATTACATTCTTTTGCGGGTTTGTCCTTGTAAGGATCTTTCCATATCAGGATGTTCACATGTATCATATCTGAGCGTGTGTGACAAGATGTAAAAAGTGTTTTTCATCCTGGACTCTGTCCCCATGTGTAAATGTGCTCTAGTTTGGGAATTCTCCTCACGCAAACTCTCCCTAAGGTTGGGCCTCCCCCGGTCCACTTCTGCTTCTCATTTCTTCGTCCTCCTCCTGCTGCCCTTACCCGTATCAGCATCATCAGCACTGGCACGGACTCTGAGGAAAACAGCGCACGACTTCCTGTCGTTTCCAGCGTTTGTTTGATACACTCCATTTCTCCTCGGCTGTTTCTTCATTCCAGATGAGGCGAGATGGGTCAGTTTTCACTCAGCGCACCAAACTTCATCTGGCTCTCATCAGGGGCAGCAAGTGTTTTTGCATGGACTATTTCTCAACAGACATCATTCATCATCCGCGTTTGAGATTGTTTATGCGACTCTGTCCGATGAAAAATTACCCTAATATTTGTATTGTATCACTCTGGGGATTTATAGCGTGCTTGTGGCACTCAAACATGAGATTTCCCATTGGTGTCCCATCAAGGTTACCATAAATTCCCCATAGAGAGTTTACTGCTCAGCACGGAAACCATGCAGAATTTATCCTAGCCTATCTTCGGCTGATATTTTTGAAAAGTTTCTCATGTTGTTTTAACTAATCAGCCGTGACGTCATAGAAGTCGTTAGCAGTAGCACTTGCTATAAGCAGATCACACAGCAGTTCAACATTTTGTGAAATGCACTTATTCAGGTTCTTGCAGAGAGATGGCTCACATTTAAATGGTGAATATAAGACGAGAGATCGTTCAGCTTGACTTTATATTATTGTAACACCATGTGCCAACCAGCACTGCTAAAACTCACATTTTAACACCTTCTTTTGATTGATTGTGTTACACAAATGTCCCTTCCATCCTTTATCTATCCTGCAAGAGCGGCTGGTCGCATTTTCATGTTCATATTTCTGACGTCCCCCATTCAAAAGGGTAGACAATGGTTTGTGAATATTTCCTGAGGCTCAAGGGCAAATCTTTTAGAATTTTGCAGTCTAAAAGCTGAATGTATTTCCTTAACAATAACATACACAATGGAGAAAAGCTGCAAATCTCTAGTGCTCCGACACTGGAATCATGGAATAGCTTGAAAGTTTAAAATGAACTGAAAAGACTGAATGTTCTTCAAATTAGTTCATTAATAAGATAGATTTTTCTTTGCTTGAAATATTAATAAATCACCTAATGATTTAAGCTATAACTCTTTTAAATAACCATAGAGTCTCATTGGTAAATTATTTCTTCTCTCTGTGGTTGCTTGAACTGAAGCAATAGCGAAGTCGAAGTCATTTATTATTGCCAAAGACTGACTGCAACAGCTGTACAAGATATATCCTGACCTTTAGAGATTACCGTTAGTAATCCTCAAAACCTTCCCTGTTAATGCAGGTAAGGCATTATGAAACTGTTTGGCTCTTTTCTCTTCACGTGAATTGACCTTTCAACTCTTGGTGAAGTGCTCCTTAATGTTCATTTCTGCTTCAATGTAACATTTCCTTTTATTCTCTTGTTGGGACTTATCTCGTTTAATGGAGTATCTAATTGTATTTTCCTTCAAAGTCATTTTTTTTCATAAAAATACCAGTTGAATCATTTTCACCTGCATGTTCATGATAGCCTTTGCACAGCTCCCTGGGATTGGATGATACTGTTAGCTCTCTCTACCGGCGAAGGGGCGGCATCTTTGTGCTGTTCTGTTAACTGTTTACCCACTTACCTTCTCTCTCTGGCCTGCAGTCCATTTGTCAGCTCTGTGTGTGTGTGTGTGTAAGAGATAGAATGTGTTTGTGTTTCAGTACTGCTTTGGTGTTGTAAACCTGAAACTGTTCATACTGCATCGAGACACCCTTAAGTTTTAAAGGGAACCACTCACACGTTTGTACATTCCTAAAGGAGTTTCTTGCACTTAAGGTGACCAACAGGCACACACACACACACACACACACACACACACACACACACACACGCTCACTCACACATACACTGTCAAACATGTGTTGCGAATTTGTCAGACAGACACACTTGGAGTCGGTGCGAGGAGGGAATTCCTTCATCTGCACGCCCCTGCACATGTGCTCAGCATCTGCTCCGCACACAAATGCACACACACACAGAGAGAGAGAGCGAGTGTGAGAGGAGATGATGATAAACGCTGATCAAGAAACAAGAGACACGCTTTTTTTTTTCCAAGCATTCCACAGTCTCGCTCTCTAAGCGCTGTCCTTCTAACCTCCCATCACAGCCTTAGAGAGTCTCCAAAGAGCCGCTGGAGAGGCTGTTAAGACTGTACTGTCTCAAGGTTACGAGGCACACTGATCTGATGCTCCACTTTTATGTACTGTGGAAGCCAGTCCTCCTCTCGGTGACGAGTGATTCGCCCGCTCTTGACGTCTCTAAGGGGACGCACATATGCAGTTTGCTTCTTTGAAGGGTGATGAGGCGAGGATGCATGTGAATATTCTGCATGATTTCACAAGCACACCCTTGTGCGCACGTGTGTGTGTGTGTACGTGTACACACATACTTATGTTACCTCTCTGGTACCAGTAGACCTCGTGGGGACCTGAGTTTGGCCCAAATGCGGCAAAATAATTTCTGAGGTCCTGGTTAAGTTTAGGGATAACCGGTTTTGGTTAGGCTTGACACAATGACTGGAAGTAAATGCAACATCCTAACACGCTATTTAAACACAGACCTTACGGTGAAAAGTTAGCTGTAGTTCAGCTTTGGAATGAAAGCATACTGTTTGCCAGAACACATGCATTGCAGTCATTTTTAATGGGAAGAATGTAAATTTGGGACTTCAGAGGATTAATTACCACTTACCCAGAAAGAGAGGCAGAGCATGTAATACATATAATATATAATTAGCTACATAATATTGCCTTTGTGTTCTTTGTGTTTCTAATCCCAGATGATTAAGCAGGTTCTGCTGTGTGCGCTGTGATAGTAATGAAAGAATCAATGAGTTGTGTTTACATATGTTTTCCTTCTCTCTCTCTTCATATGTTGCAGGATGTTGGAGTACTCCCTCAACCTGCAGAACGTCAGTTTTTCAGCAGTGAGGACTGTTCGTGTGCTGAGACCACTGAGAGCCATCAACCGAGTGCCAAGTGAGTGCAGACGTACTGGCCCCTCTTGCTGCAGCTCTCTAACCAGACTCAGGATCTGAGAACACATTGTCCTCTAATATCACAACACTTTTGGCTTCCTCTGGATCCAAATACACGTCTTTTGATCTGAAACTAAAGCCAGACTGTGTTTAACTTTTAGGTTGGCAATAGATATAGTCCATTGTGAGTAATTCTAGGAGAAATGCGATGTGGTTTGGGCAAGTTTGAGGTGATCACCTTGGAATTAGTGATGTGCAATCTTTCAAAATAAATCCTACTGTGATTTTACTGTGATGATTTTAAAGCCCACGTTGTCCACACATTTGAAGACACCCATGTTATACGCTAGGCAGAATGTGACCACCTCTTTTCATTGTTTGACTGCTTTAATGTGCTAGTCTAAAAATAATCTGTATATGTGTATTCGAAAGAACGAGTTCGCAAAAACAAGCCAAGCCAAAATGAGTTTTCTCCATTGCGTTACTGCTCTCAGCCTTCGAGGTATGGTGAGTCATCCTGAGGGGGCTCGAAGCAGGGGAGGGGGACATCTGGGATACCCCACTTTGCCGACTACCTCTGCAACCTGAGCCTGGTTAAGCAGAAGATGATGAATTGATGGATGAATGGATGGATAGATAACTCAGGCATTGAATCCATAAAGAGAAAGAGCCCAAATAGGCACAGGCTGAAAGTAAAACAAGTCACTGTACAATAATATTTGAAAAAGAAAAAGATGACATATATTACCTTATCACAATGACCAATTATTGTCTAGCTTATCACGTTTACTCAGGCTGAGTAGAAGATATCAGCAAAGCTTTATCTTATCTAAATTTGGATGACTTCCACTCCTCCGTCACTGTACTTGCTATGATTTGTGATCGTGCAGGTGGACTGAATTCCCACACAGAAGCAGAATGTAGGTCAGGAACAAGCTGATCCACATTTACTTTTCTGACTGGCTCTGTTTTTTGGCTTCCCCCAGCCACACACTCAGATGTATATGCAATTATCCAAATGACCGCCTTTTATTAAAGGACTGTTGTTCATAGCTACAATCACCACAAACACACACACACACACACACACACACACACACACACACACACACACACACACCACACTGCTTGTTCATCATGATGCAAACATACAAATCCCTTAGATACTTACTCCATTCGTCATCTATAACACATAAAAACAAATTATTTTTTATAATAGGTGATGCTCATCACACGCGCGCACACACACACACACACACACACACACACACACACACACACACACACACACACACACACATATTTTCCTTACCCCCCCAACACTTCCATACTCT